TTAATTAGCTGAGCTCAACCCTTTCCCAGCAGCAGTCAAGCCTGCCTGCAGAGTGCAAGGACCTGAAGCCCTCTGCACCTTGGCTCATCTGTTACAGCCAGGCTTCTGCATCCCTGGACACGGAAATTTCCAGCCATTCTTTCCCCTTGCCTGTGCTGAAGTTCCCTGTGTTTGCCCCAGCTCCAAGGCAAACCTAGGCAGGTGGAAAGTTTGAAGAAACTTCCTCCAGGCTAGGCTGAAGTCATCCAAGCAGGGAAAAAACCTCTTGCATGCACGATCTCAGAAGGCTGTCAGGATTTACCCACTTTATGCCAAGGCTTTATGTGTGTGACCCCTGCAGCAACCAGAAACTTCTGGGGCGTTCCAAAGCAACTTGTGCAGAGCTGTCTGGCCTTGCTTAGAGGGACACCAAGCTCTCCTGTTTGCCAAACTCCTGAGCACACACAGAGGAAGAGCTGAGAGTTCAGGGACACAGGAAAATCTCCCTCCTGGCAGAGCCATGCTAGGACTCGCTTTCTCTAATGCCTCACAATTGGCAGCATACTAGGAAATAACTCAGGATGGACTTGAATCCTGGCAATCCAGCAAGGGTTCTGAAGACCCTCTGGTAAAACCAAGAGCATCTCCACTTTCCATTAACTATGGCCATCCCACTGCTGGGCAGCTGGCGCAGCCTAGCCCAGTAAAAGCAGGGAGACTCCCAGCCTCACCAGCGACACGGTGTGCTCCCTGCATCTGACTTCTTTAATCCTTCTTCTAAAACTTAGTCTCTCTAGTCTTCTGTTTCTTTATCCTTCCTTCCCTTTCTTTTATCTTTGCTGTTACACTCTGAGCACTCCCCCAGGTGCACAGGGATTCAGCAACACCCTCATACAGCAGGGCAAGCAATGAGAAAGCAGCCAAACTGCAGCAGACAACCTGAATGGGGACAACCTCTATTTCCCTGCTCAGGGAAGATTTCCAGCCCAAGACCACACGACTCAAGAGGGTTATGATTGGCACACGCCAATGAATGGTTAGAAGTGGCTCTTGTCCCCTTGAAGATGAGCCTCATGTTCAGTAACAACCCGTGCAGGCAAGGGAGGTCCCTTCACTACCATCATGTGAAGAGTTCAGAACATCAGCTCCCATGGGGCCCTGATTTCACTCGATTAACTGTCCCCAAGCCCCTGTTAAGGCATTTCAGCCCACGAGTCACTGGCACGTGGTTTCTTATCAGCAGATGGGGCACCACTTGTCTCTGGTGGAAGGAGGAAGTCAGGCTTCCTTTGCTCCCCTCCCTCCCTGAAACATACACCCAACCAAAACCACACAGTCCCATTTTCCATCTGAACGAGGCCTAGGTCTTCCTTCTGTGATTGAGCTGGGGTCCCTCGACCTTCACTCCTACAGAAGCATTGCACTGCTTTGCATACAGAGCCCATGCAGAAGACAGTCACTCTCCTGCAGAGGCACAGCCCCCAGCCTTTCCATCACCACGACATCAGGTACAATGGCAGAAAGTCGTGTGTGGCCCAAGGACCAGCACGGGCAGGAAGGAAAACATGTTTTCAAGTTTAAGATAGCCTATACAGTCCCAGAGAGAGGAAACTGTGCTTAACTTCACACACTCATGAATCAACTCTGCCTCTCCAGAGCTAGCAGAGGCTGACATCTGCACAAGGAAATGGGGAGGTTTTCTCTTGTGCTGGAACAAAAACGGGTGATCCTTTCACACCCCATTTCACCTCCAAGGAGCTGGTCCCACACTCATCCTTTTCCAAGGATGCTGGAATTGTGGATCTAGCAGGTGAGGTTGGGAAGGACGGGTTTCCTCAGTGAATCCTCACAAAGGCTGAGGTGGTCTGGAGGCTGGGCACAACAATAAATCTGCCTGCAGTCTGCTCAGAGGTAGCCAGGCCCACAGCTGGAAAGCCCCTCTCTTCACTTCCACACAGAGTGGTCCCATCAGGACCCAAGTCAGCAGAAAAGGAGTTTGTTTACATGGAAGAGACAGATATTTGGAGTTGCAGGCCACAAGGAAAAGATGGATGCTTGGAGACCATTTGAGCTTGAGTGCACAGGGTTTGTTCTCTACCTGCCCACATGATAAGCAGGATACAGATCACTGCCCAAAGCACACCCACCATCTTCCACTTGCCACCCCACTCCTCATGCTTGACTTCTCCTGCCCTCACAGCTGAGCCACACTCTCACGGGAACTAATGTGCCTTATTACTGTGGCTCTGACTTCCCTGAGGCAGAGGGGCTGCCAGTGGCACTAGGGAGCCATGGAGAAGATGACATTTGGGCAAATAATTCTTGGAAGACAGCACCCACGCATTTCACTGGCCATTATACCCCCTGTCCTTCCTGTTAGCCAATTTCCTTCCTGCCAAAGTGAGACTCCTTCTAACTTTGGGCACAGGGAGAGACAATTTTAGCCCCATTGCTTCATCCTGCCTGCTCTGATGCTCCTCTCCTGCGGAGGCAGGCAGGGAGGTATCCAAGGAGGATCCTGCTGACACTCCAACCGCCCAAGCATGTGCTCTTCACCTCTGCCTCCACCTCCTGTTTTTACCCCACAAGTGCCAGGCTGACAAACACAGGCACACCTTGAGATGGCACAGGTGGGTGAGCCTGAGGGAGCTATGGACAGAGAAGATGTTTGTCAGATGTAGAGCCAAGACTTTTGCCAGCTCCCTTTGTGCAAGCCCAGAGCTCCTCTCAGCTCAGTACCAGCCAGGGCATCTGAGGAAACAGGAACTATTTAGGCAAAACCCCTCAACTTTTTGTATTTTCAAAATTACAATTACAGGAAAGTGTAGTTGCCCAAGTCTTCTGAAATATAATGATAGTACGATTTTAATTCTCTGCCTGGAGCTGTTTTGTGGCACACAGGGAAATATGCTGCTGACAGAGATGAAAAGAAGAAATGAAGATGGGTTTGTCTGGCCAGATGAAAGTGATGTAGCCTGTGGCCATCTGATCCCTTCTCTCTGGGGACCTTCTGTCACTGGATGAGCAATTGCACCACAGACTTTAGCATTACCATCAGCCCTGACTTGTTTTCACATACAAACAGCATATGTGGCAGTTCAATGAGCTCCTGGGTGCTCACAGTCCCCATGTGCATTGACCTGAGTGGTGGATGTTCAGCACTTCTAAATATAAATGCCACCTACCTCTGCCGCAGGGTCAGGAGGAGAGACAAGAATAGCAGAGGCACAAATCCACAGCCTCACCACTCTAACCACAAGAATAGGTTTTTTTTCCCAGCAGTGGGAGTAGATCCCAGGAAAGCCTGTCTCCTGTGTGGACATGGTGAGCCCAGAGCTGTACAACCAGCAGATCTACAGCTCCCTCCCTCACTCTTTACAGATTTCCTGTTCTGAAATGCACTTTGAGTGAGAGAAAACAGAAGAGCAAAGGCAACCTCTGAGAGCCTCTCCTGCCTACAGTAACCAAGGCACCACTGATTAATGTTTTCCTAGTTAATAAGATGTTTGCATTAGGTCTCTCCAAGCAAGTCTGACAGGCAAAGGGCTTCAAGCACCAAACAAGACGCCTCAAGCACTAAAAGCATCTCCAAGCAGCTGCATCTATGGGGCTCACTAATAAAACAGTAAGCAAGGAGCCCTGGGCACACCATGACAGACAAACCTGGGGGGAAGTGTTACTTCCACGCCTCTGATTAAAAGACACCTGGCTCTCTCCATGGGCACCTTGGCTCTAGCATTACAGCTGGGAAAACTGGCAAAGCTCCTCCACTCTGAGGAGCCACAGAACCAGCCTCTAGATAGGACACGACTAGAAAGCCTGTCTGGGGAGTGTGGGAGGCTGGGTTTAGTGTAACTTTGCTTGCCGTGAGACTTCCAGCCAACACTCAGAACAGATCCCAGAGTCAGCATTAATGAACTAATCAGCAGATGCACAGATTCCTTCCTAACAGGGAAGTAAACACTCAGGCTGTCTCCCAGGTCATCTTCAGCTTCAATCCAGATGTGCTCTGCCAGGCAAGGACAGAGCTTTCTTGCTGCTCTTGCCACTGAAGACATTTGCTTGAGCATGTCAGTGCTTCTAAGTTTCTCTTCCTCTTGCACCATTACTCAGTATTAAACTCTAGCCTGGTTTTGGGGCAAAGCTTCGCCCTCAGCTGTGAGAACACTTCGCTCATGCTGTGTGTACACTCATGATGAAAACCTTCCATTGAGGGAATGTACAACAGCAAAAAATGCTGTGATTAGCTGAAGGTAATTACCAGAAGCCAAACCAAATAACTCTGGTGTAATGCCTCTGCCTTGAGAGGCATTACGGATGTGGGAAGCCCCCCGCACTAAGAGAAACACTTGTCTCTGTCACAGAAGCTCAGGAGGGCAGCCCCACATCAGGGCGTGTGTCACAACTCTGCCAAAAGCCGTAGCTCTGCGGGCAAGTTGGCAAAGCAAGGCGATTCCCACCTGAGAACAAACAGTTCCTGGGTTGCTCTGTTGAGCGGTGTCTAACACAGCCATCGCAAGGTCTTGCCCCGCACAATTAATCTCGTTTCAGGACTTGCTTACGTGCCATCTCACGCAGCCAAGCCTCCCCATTATGGAGGAAACGTTGCATTCTCTGGGGAAGGGACAGTGGGGGAGGCTTGGTTTGCTCTCCCCTTTCTTCTAGTTGCTAGCAGCCCCATGGCAAGCAGAAGCAGGCTTCCATGGTGGGTCCATTCTGTGCCATGCAGCTGGGGGGCCTCTCCTGCTGCTCACCCCGCTGATACCTCACATACCTCTGAGGGGGTCATCCACCCAAACCTGGCTGCCAAGCACCCACGCACACCAAGGCAGGGCGGGAGGCTCGTAGGACAGGGGCCTGGGGAGACCTAAACACCACGGCCGAGCGGATGCTGCTCGGGAGAGGGCTGGAGACCGCGGCACACACAGCCTGCCTTATCTCCGGGCTCCGGCTCCCCGCCGCTGCGAGGGGAGCAGCCCGGGGCCGGGGGCAATGGCTCGCAGCTCCCGGGGGTCACTCACGTGTCGCCGTCCTCCGAAAGGTAGGTGAGGGCATCCAGCTGCTGCCGGCTCAGCCCCTCGGCCCGGGGCGGCGGCTCCTCGGGGCGGCCCCCCGGAGCCCCGGGCAGCCCGGGCAGAGCTTCGGGCAGGGCGCCGGAGCCGTAGCTGGAATCCAGCCGCTCCTCGGCGGCGCTGGCCTCGGCGAGGGTCTCCTCGGGGGCGGCAGGGGGGCCCTCGGGCGCGGCGGGGGTCTCCCGGCCGCCCGGCAGCGAGCGCAGCGACTCGATGCCCGAGTCGCACTGCCCGTCCTCGCCCTCCCAGCCCGCCGCTTCCTTGCGGCACTCGCCGCCCGCCGCCCGCGACATGGCTCAGCGCCCGCCGTCCGCCGGCCGCGGCCCGGGTCCCGCTGCCGGGGGGCTCATGGCCGCGCAGCCAGCGGCGGCGGGGAAATGAAGATGGGTTTGTCT